AAATACTGCTTTCAGCAAGATAGCTAGGTTCCTGTAAAAGGAAAAAGATTCTCAAAGTACTTGAGAAGATGATATAATAAAAAAAGGTTCCTGATTGAATACCAAATACAATATGTTAGGATTATGCGAGGTCTACAGGGAGCAAGTGAGTCCTGATTAGATCAAAGAAACTGATGTTTATTGGATTTCTTAGTAGCCTGAGGATCATTGGTCTTTAATCATATTCACTCAAAATTTCTAGCTGCCTGACCTTAAGGCAGTAAAAGATTCATAAATTTAGCGTAACGTTTAGGGAATAGGAAATGGTCTGTTGTAAATTATAACAAATGCTATGGACTCCAGTTCTGAAGTCAGTGGCTAGAGTGTTAGATATAAACAAATTCAGAATTTTGCCCGACTGCTTTTTGGGTAGCTTTGAGAAAATCACTGTTTCTCAGCCTCAGTACCCCCAATCAATTATTTTACTAAAATATTAATACCCCAGACAGTTAACAAAAATCAATTAAGGCAAACAATTTTAACATCCAAGCAAAAGTATGGCATAAAAAGAACCAATACTCTTAAATCTGAAATCTACCCAATAGAATTGTCCGTTAATCTGGACTTTAATCTTAAATTAATCTTAACTTTAAAAAAAATTGCATTCCCTTGGGTCAATGATAGTTTTAGGTGCCTTGGTATCCATATCCCTAGAGATCTCAACCTTTTAGTTAAATATAACTTTGATAAGTTTTTCAAAGACATCATGTCCTTACAGGAAAAGTGGGGAAGACTACAATTTCCATGGTATGATAGGGTTGCCAAGTCCAAATTCGGAAATATCTGAGGACTTTGGGGGTGGAGCCAGGAGACGTTTGTGGTGTTGCTTCCTGTGATGTCACTTCCTGTGATGTCACTTCCAGGTCAAATGGCAAGTGATGTCACTTCCCCTTCCATGATGTCACTTCAAGTATACTGCTCCAAAACCTCACCTCTTCCTGTGACATCACTTTCCAGGCACTCCCCCAAACCCGCCTTTCCCTCTGAAGTAACCTTCTTTCAAAAAATAAAATTTAAATTCAGTGTCATATATCAATTCCTACCCCACCTTTTCCCTATTTTACATTACCTCTAGGCTTTTAGGCCTCCTTCCAGTGCAAAAATAACAAAAAACTTTAAGAAACATAAAATGCTTTAATTTAAACATTTAACAATCAGAAGGAAAAAACAAGCAAACAGCACATGTCAAAAGTGAAGCCCTTTTCACTGATTTCAGTAGGAAAGATAAGCACACACTGAAATGTTACACTGAAATCAATAGGATTCAATGTGCTTAATTCTGACCAAATGGTCACACAGTGGCCAAAAATACCAGGTGCCATCAGGAGGTCCAGCAGTGGGGCCAGGACACTAGAAGCCCTCCCACTGTTGCCCTCCACCAAGCACCAAGAATACAGAGCATCACTTGCCCCAGAGTTCCTATCTATACCTTGTGGCTAATAGCCACTGATGGTCTCTCATTCCAGTCCCAAAACACTTCGTTACTCCTAGGGGCTGTCATTCCACTCTTGGGCCTGTCATTCCAGTTCCAGAAAACTCCTGCTACCCCCAGGGGCTGTCATTCCACTCCGTGGTCTCTCATTCAAGCCCCTGAACACTCCTGCTAGACCCTTGGGCTGCCATCCCACTCCGTAGTCTCTTATTCCAGTCCCAGAACACTCCTGCTACACCCTGGGGCTGTAATTCTACTCTTGGGCC